CTTTATATAGAGAACCCAAATGAATTAAATTTCGAGATCCACCTGCAAAATTCGTGCAAACACGCGGGAAGACTTGATGTAAGTGCAATAACCTCGCAGAGAGTACGAGCACCCCTTGTAAAAACCAAAATCGCGCGTGCCTTTATTATACGCGCGATCCACCGTAATGGCTTCCTCCTCCTCGTTCGCGGGGAGCATTAGCGCCCACGTTAACCCTTTTGCGGTGCACGTATCTCGATCCTTCTTACCTCGCGTACCCCATTTTTTTTATCATCATCATTACGAGCAGAGCCGCGAAATTCAATCCTCGGGCGGCTCCTTTAATTGCACGCGCGCGCGCGCAATTTTTCGGCCGCTCAATCATCCACCCGCTGGTCCCTTTATTTTTTAAACCGCGTGCATCCTTTTATCTCTCTTTTTCTCTGAAGCCTGCCGATGTCTAGTACAAAAGTTGCCGTCTCGGCCTTTAAAGGATGGCCATTTTTCTCGGACCGAGCGATGACGGCGGGAATAAAAGGCGAGTGACCAAATTGTTGCTGAACCCTTTGTTGTTGTTTTTATTTTTCTTTTTCTTCCTTTCGGTACTTTGATTGATGTGGTTTGTTGTACGACGACAAATGCGGGAAGTCGGTTTGAGGTACCTTTTTTCGGGGCTCCGGGTCGCGGGAGAGAGTTTCATTAGATCATGATGTACTCGTGATTGAACGGAGTTGTTTGAGGTGTGGAATAATTGGTTTTTTGGTGGATCTTTTTTCGGTACAGAAAAAAAAGTACTCCAAATATATACTCGGATGGAATCATCAAAACTCTATATATACGTGTTTTCAAAGGATTACGAGAATTCAGATGGAATTAATAATCCTTAGGTACACTCCACCCAAGTGGCAAACATGTACAACTTAGCTTCACCACAAGTACAATATACGTGTGGCAAAGGAACGGTTTAAATCAATGACTTGTCCTCTAATTGCACGCATCCTTTACCTCCATCCCTTGTACGATCCTCGATTGGAATTCCCTCCCCGAAACCTGGATCAAGATAAGCTTGGAGTAACAAGCAAAGGATTCCACTCTCCCCGCAGCCCCCGAAGGCATACCGCGTCTTTCCCACTTGTCTCGTATACCTCATACTTCAACGTGACTCTCGGACGGACGTACAGGACACACGCGGGCATGTACTTATGTGTATACGGTCCTCCACGGCGGCCCAGTGACCCGAATAACCCGCGCTTTGCTTATAAATCGAACGCCGCTGGCTCGTCTCCGTTTTTTTACCACGTATACACTCGCTCTTTCCATTTTCCCTCTCGAAGTTGTGTACATATATGTATATACACGTGTACACCCTACAGGTATAGAGAGGAGGTGAATGATGACGAAAAGAAGGAAGAAGACCATAGGGGGAGGGGGGATCTCTTTCTCTTTCTCACGCGCCTCGCGTTCGCGTTGCGTGTGTGCGTATATACGCATATAATACGGCGTGCAATATATCAGACAATCAGCAGCCGTGGACACGGGCACTGCTGCGCGGAAGTGTATCGTACATTATTTTTAATGCGCTCGAGAGCCCGTTAATTGTTGGATTTTTGTTTTCGGGATGCGCACGTGAGTATATAAAGCAAGTGGGCGATGAAAGGTATGATGGTGCAAAGGTGAGAATGAAAAATTGCGACGTACTTGCATACGCGGAAGATTAAAAGGGCGGCATCTCGCTGTCGGTGGTATGTATGCTTAAACGGCGTCAATTATAAAAAAAAAAAAAATAAAAAAATAAAAAATGTGGTCGCCCGTAGTTGGATAATTAAATGTACATGAAAATGTGCGCTTGTACTTATTTTTTCCTCTTTTTTTTTATACGATGAGAGCTCGGGTATTTTTATCGGTAATTATCATTTTTATAGTGACTCGTGATCGTTTGTGTGCGTCTCTCTCTCTCTTCGTGTACATTTAAGTAGTTATGCGCGCACGTGTGGGTAAATGATAAAAACCGACAATCCATGGTAATGTTATTTACACCTCGTTCGTATTTACGATGCTGGTTGGGCAGCATATCCCCGGCCATTCGTATATATGCAACGCACTTTGATGTTATACGATGGGCTATTTGTTTTTAGAGAAAGAGCAATAATAAGACAATTGATGCTTCAAAGTGGGCAGACGCGCATGAGATACGTGGATTTTATAATTAGCTGCTTTCACCGAAACTATAAGGAGGTCGCGGCTTCTTACCACTTGCGATAAAAAATTATCATCCTTTTCATTCATTTATGTTTTTTTCATCGTAATAAATACGCACTTACAGTTTTTTGTATGGTTTGTTTAAAAATTTATTAGTAAACGATTTTTGTAAAGCAATGATCGTATTTTACCATCTAAGGTCGTTTTACATTTCCTTTTTTTTCTCTAAGTTTCTTACATATTTTTTACTATTACTACTATTAGTAGAATTTTACAGTTTAAAGAACGATTACTCAAATGATTTTGTAATTATTTGGAAGGATTAAAAATTTTTTAAATTACTTAAGAAAAAAATTTTTTTAATTATAAAAATACTGTTGTTATGGCAAAGAAACTTCAGAACGCCTTCCACGTCGATCGGGACGAATAAAGCATATAAAATGCCATATTACCCGTTAGAGGTAAGACGCAATGCGGCCGAATCTCAAATGAGGGGGTAGGTACCTGTGGGGCATAGCCAATAATGTACGAATATGTAAGTGTATCAGGCCCATTTCCACCTGTGACCATTTTAATGAATAAAGTTACTTCGGACGATGATGATTATCATAATTGAAATACCGATTTGTATCATTTCACCTGCGCATTGACGAGCATTAGACGCAGGGAGGAAGAAAAATCCCACGAGTGACCCTTCGTTCAGCCAACCTCGGGCGCAAAACCAAGCGCGTAAACGTATCATTTCCGAGCTGTCCTCCCACTCTCCTCCCTGGTCGGCCCCCTACGTATCAAAACGAGAGCGACCCTCCCATCTCCCAAAAGCATCAAAAAGTTTTGCGAATCCTCCTAGGGACCCAACGAGCCGAGCGATTCAGCGAATCCGTAAATAAAGGATCCGAGGATCCTCTCCCGCACCAACCCCAAACCGGCCATTCCACGAACGAAGCTATATACACTGCAAGCTCCCGCGAACCTTTACCATACATCTCTCTCTTTTTTTCTTTTTTCTTCTTTCTTTCTTACCTCTCCATCGGATGATTAATCGCCCCCGACACGATCTAATTAGGCTCGTTCGCTTCGCGAGCTAACATCTGCACTGCACCGATGATGATGATGACTCGAAGTCCGGGCTGCACGCGCTCTGTTATTTTCCACGTGGGCAGTGCAGGATGTACATACATGTATAACCCACGGTACCTGTAATTCATACTCTTTTAACATGCACTCCGTCGGTCTTGAGAAATGTTTGGACGATTCAATCGCCTTTTGACTTTAGTTGCACGCGTGTATACCTACAGCTATAGGCGGCCATACGGGCTAATGTCGATAGGGTGGTGTCCGTCTGGAAAAAACAATCTCGCAACCTGTGGCACATAATTGTATTTTTTCCCTTTTCACAAGTACAGCACCGTGCACGGAGTGACATGAATAATAGAACGAAAGTCAACGACGGCGTGAGATCGGTGAAAGAGCATCGTCCGCACACGGAGTCTATCGTTCCATAAACAACGATTAATCGTCTCGTCTCGCTTATCGTAACTCCCGAACTTTATAGCCCTTGCACCCCCGCCCATATACTTCACCTCGACCACCATCGTCATAACGAGCTGCGCTCGGCCACGTTTACGAGAGATGATACCCATCGTACGGTCATCGACGACGAAACACAAACGATTTCTAATAATATTCCCGTTGATCGGGAGAATGAGAGGATCCATACGTACGTGCACGAGGGTAACCATTATCAAAGCTGAATAACCAAGACATACGTGCACACTCGATCTTCCCTCTGAAGCTTATTAATTCCGCGGGGCCCGTGGCTCGTGGCATTATTTTCTTCCATTCAATTTTCCGAGGAGACAAACGCAGTCCCACTGGATGACGGTCACTGTATCCCACGTCCCTGTTTCACCTCTCGTCTTGCATGCGATTGCATTTTTAGATTCTTCGTCGAAAGACATATTTATTTAAAGAAAAGTGAAACCAAGCGAAAATTCAACTCTTTCCCTGTCGAGGACTTACACACACATATATTATTTATCATGCATGACGATGGTATGAAAAAAAAAAAAAATCTCCAAAACCAATTAATAAAGCGCACTCATCAATCATCTTCCTGCGCGTATCATCATCATAGTGTGGGGCACTCAACAAAACCAAGCGTTTAGCTAATAGCACACCGCCTCGATCTTACTCGTTCCCTAAGAACAAATTTGTAAAACCGAAAGAAGAAGAAAAAAAAAAAATAGTGCGACGAGTGCCAGTGGACGATTTTAAAGCATAACATATATTGGCACCTGAGGTAAAAGCACGCACCTCGCGATACACTGTTGCCCCTTGTTTTAGCACCAATGGATCCCTCGGCCTTAATTACCCCGTCCTCGTGGGAGAAAGAGGCGTGCGTTATAGATCATTGACGTTTCGTTGGGTGTGTGCGTGTATGTAGGCGTATACACACACGCCCACGACTTGACCGATGTTAAATTTCCGAGGAGGAGCTTCGCTCTTGTTAGTCCTCGGCGTGCGATTAAAAGCGAATTATTGCGCCCACGAAGTTGGGATGGGAAAATCTGAGAAAAGAAGTGTAGCGAAAATAGTTGTAAGATGTAAATTACAAGCACGTTGCCGTTATACGTAGATTTGGAAGGAGCATTTTAGCTCTAAGATCAATGTCACAACTTTTTTTTGCAAACGTCGCATATCCATTTTCGGATATAGCTGCGATTGCGAAGCTGTATGTGCCGACGGATGGACTGAAAAATAATCGGCAAGATTTTCGAGTGACCAACAAGTAATTCTGGATGAATTTTTTTACTTTTCAGGTCCTGTCATGGCTGTGCAAGAAAGGCGAGGACGTCCTCACTAAGCACGGACAGCACTCGGCCACGAGTCTCGCCGCGGCGCGCCTTCATGAGCGGGAATTCGAAAAGTTCTACTTCACGTCGATGGTGAGTACCATTTTTCAAGATATATTCCAATACCACTGAAAAATCTATCTCTAGATCCATTAACAGTAACTCTTGATTAATCGAGTCGTCTTTGATTAGACTCGATTTTCTATACGCATAAACTATACAAGTTCTGGGGGAAAAAAGTTTTCTATCCCCCGCAGAAGTGTAGCTGTACCCATATTCGTCTGCTCCGTCAAGGCTATCGGTGCATGATTCATTGCACTCCCCACGGTTCGGTTTTTGCCGATCCCAAAACAGACCGCGTGCGTATACACATGCATCCCGATCGAGAGAAAAAGAAAAGAAAACGGTAAAAGAGACGACAACAACTGGGGGGAAGGAAGAGACGTAATGAAGGATCCCTTTGTGCCATTTGCTGCCTCGCGGCGCACTTTTGTCTTTTCCGTGTACAGTACACGTGTGTAGAGATACACGCGTATTATCTGCGTAAGTCTATACCTATGCGTGCCATTAGAGACGGACGGAAGCGGACAAAGCGACGCACTGAGGTTCTTTCGGCATTGCGTCCGACAGGCGTTTTCCACATTGTTCGCGTCCGTCCGCGAACCGTTATCGCCGCCCATCTGCCTCTTCTTCTTTCTCCTACCGCCAGAGGCTGCTACTTTTTCCCTTTTCACTGCAGTTTTACTTTGGCTGGGTAACGAAGGGAAAAACAGAGGCGACGGGGGACGACTCGTCAATGACGACAACACTTCGGACTGTCGTTATTGTTCTGCTCACTATACATCAACCGGTTTTCCGTGAAGCGACACTCGCACAAAGAGCCTTGAATTTTATTCTTTACTCCTCTTGCATTGGCGAGTGTGCAGTTCTGCCCGATACTTTTCGGGAATATGATGGACGAGCTCGGCCAGATCGAAAAATTATAAATATGTTTTGTCTCTATATCATTATTAGCGTGACTGAACAAGTTTTCCTCGGAAATTAATTTAACTGTGCGATAAATTAGTAACTAAGTATATAAGAATTAGTTTCATTGGTGTGTGCTTCGCGGTTTCTCAGTTGTGCCTCGTAGCGATTCTAGCGGGACTTTCATCAAGTATCCACGAACCCTCTGCCGGTAACACGATCACTTTATCGATTGATCTATAGATCGATGGACTCAGTAGTCGGTAAGGTAGAGTACGATCCTTGATACACATATACTTGCCGATTTATCTTTGTCTTATTTCAGGTGTATGCTCTTTATGGATAAGAAATTCACATAATTCAAGTATAAACGAAAACCTTTACATTTCGTATACATTTTTTAAGTTAAGTACCTTTGGAAAAAATCGTAGATCACTACCGATCTCTTGTTACTCGTGTTATCGACTGTAGGCTCACGATGTACTGATCGGTATTTTCGCACGGACAAATGTAACATCAACCGCGACCAAACAAGTTTCGTTTGTAATTCAGTTGCTTGCCGTTACCCACACCTCAATCGGCTAAATTACTATACCGATCTCCGGAAGGAAATCGTTTAATTGAAATCATTCATATCGAAATTATTGATCTTAAAATATACTTTTGTTAACTACACGCAAACCAATTAATAATCCACTGTACGAATGTATTACAAACGCGTGATTAAAGTGTTATCTCTTGGAAAAAAAAAAAAAAAAAAAACAAGACGATCGAACCGGTCTTTATTTTAGCATAACAACGCCAAGCAGCAGAAACAGAAGAAGAAAAACAGTAACCTTCACCGTAAACGAGCGATTGTCGTACTGTCGTGAAAAAGTAAGTCAAACACAAATTGTTTTGCCCGCAAACTTTCTAAAGGATACTCAATACTTTTTGTACACTCCGAGTGTTCTTTTCTCTTTCTTTTTCTCTCCCAAGTGGGCAAGCTCTTAATTATCTCCCGCAGAAAACAATCGAGGCGCTTTTTCCTAAAGTGCTCGTCGTTGTACCTATTCCGGTTCGACAATCGGCGCTTCGCTACTTTGCTGCTCTCTGGGCCTTGTCTTGTAAAAACACGAAAGGACAACCACTATTGTATACACGTACATAAATACCCTCGTTTTATGTGCACAAAGTGCAACTCGTGTATCCACGCACGTATACATTTCACTGCGGTCGGGGAGAAAAGCGTACTCCGGTGACACAATAGCCTATTTGCATCTGCGTTGCGAAAATACAATCTACTATGCATACACAGGTGGTACAAGTGATTATCGGGTGGAGACGACTTTTCAAATTGAACTCGTTTTAGAGGCAGGACGGACAGCTATTACCTTTAAAATTGACCAATTGTCCAACGGCCGCGTATACTCGCGCTGTTGGCTGTTCGAGCGTGAAAACTCTTCTTTTTTTTTTTTTTCAATTTACATTTCGTACGAGATTACATATCTGATACGATCTGTTTTTTAGTGAACGCTTTATTTATTTGTGCACATACATACTTATTCGAGACAAAAAAATGCCACCAAGTATTCGTTTCTTATACATCCTAGTTGGCTAATTTTGGTAATTTCGGACTGCAAGTAGGTACATAATGTTATCGTTGTTTTGATATTTCATGGGCTATCCATGTTAAAGTTACTGCATTGTTGGACACAATTTTAGATTGAGATAAAATTATGGATAGCACCTATCAACTGAGCTACTCGTGCTTTTGAACTAAATATTTATTAAATACAACGACAAATTTTCTGATTTAATCGTTTTTGTCCAAAATATAGGTAAATAATGGCCCCCCCCCTCCCCCAATGCAACCGACCTTGTCACCCAATTACAACGACTAACGACTCATCCTTGCCATTACTCACTAGGTCATTGCACGAAGCTCCGAAGGAGTAGGACGAAAAACAACAATGAACCAAATAAATCCTCCACACTCGCTGATTCTCGTATATAACTCGGGCAAAGCATTAACAGCACAGTCGGTGCTCATAGGTTGCACGTACAAAGGCACTATCAGCTGCAAAGCACGTTTTCATCGGGTACACATGTAGGTATATGTATGCGCACGCGATAGGCCACGCCAGACATTTAAATGGCCATTCGCGACAACAGTATCCATATGCCCACGCGTGTGTTCTTGTGCGGTATATAGCGTTCTCGTAACCTAATTGCGTATGTATACCACTCTATAACTTATACATATATACCATATCGTTGTTGCTCGAAAACCACGTACACCTATATTATATACATGTGTGTGCACACACGCACTCGGGTTTACGATATCCGAGCCGGCGATTACTTTAAAACACATACACGTATACGTACAAGCATATACCTACATGAAATCGGCCACAAACTCGTGCACACGCTCTCTTTCGCTGACGCAATGCGGGGATACGTGCAGGTATATTATGTATAAGTAGAGAGAAAAATTGCCACGGCGGGAGGGGGTCGATTTGCCCTCGCTTCCGGAAATTGTGTAGTTTTCTCCGAAGATTCTGCAGAGAGGAGAGAAGATGGATATAATGGCGATCGTTAAGTTACTAACTCCCGAGGCTCTAATCGTTAGTTCCGAGGAATTTCTCTAATGTTTTGTATACATGATGCAGGAGCGATCGGCAACAGCACATTGGTCGAAAGTAAAGGGGGTCAAATTATCGAGGTATAGTTGATGGAGGCAATTGGGTACAGGGGGTTTGATGCTTCGACATTACTGCCGTTCCATTGGGAATATCGTGGATTAAAATATGAAATGATGTTAAAATTGCGCGAATGATTTTTCACGAAAATTAATTGGTTGGAGATTGATGTGTCTTTTGTTGTCATCGTTGGATGAATAGCTACTCAGCTATTGAATTAATTATTTCGTAACTCGAGTTCAATTTTCTATACATACAAAAGCGATTGTGTAACTGATACCAACTATTAGAGTAATGAAGAATAAAAGCAACTACTCTAAAACTTTAAACGAGTGGTCAAATGATACAAGTGTATGAATTATGCAAATCAGCATCCCCAGTCTTCGAACTTACTGTATACGTACGATCTTTTGATAGTTTTGTCTGATACCAGACTTTATATTTTGGTGAAAATACAAGGCCTCTTGTTCTCAAGGTCAGTTGATTCTGAATGAGAAGAAGAAAAAAAGCACTTCTCGAAAGGCTGACCCACTAAAGCCTCCACGCGTTCCCGTTTCCTCAAGGTCGCGAGTATCTGCCTCAATGGCTTATTTCGCAAGCCTCTGGACCCTTGAAGCGCAAGGGGCTCGGACATCGCCCACGCAAACAAGTAGATATTCAAAACCGGTATGTCTTTTGAGAACAGAAAAAAAAAAAAATAATTAATGTGTCCAGAGTCAAAGCATCACCTTATAGAGGCCCTTGTGAGAGTCTATATACACGGTCATCGCGCGTTTATGTGTACGCGAAAGAAAAGTATACATGGCGTGTACAGACTCTCTAACGAGCATAACCGCCTTGTGCCGATTCCGCCGGCGCACGTGACCATATAGATGCGCCGGTATATGACTTTCGCAACGGAATTTTTCGTAACGAGCCTTGATTTGGTCTTGGAAACGATGTTTTCTTTTTTTCTTTTGAAGTTGATTGAAAAACGAAACAATTGCGTTTTTGTTGTTACAAGAATAACTTTTGTCAAGTTAACAACTTTTAGAAAAGCTACAAAAGATCTGCGTGTGACGGCCAGTTCCTATACCGGCTTGATGACGCTGTATGTGCCATAAAGCACCGACGCGGTTCCCCAACTTGACTTTGGTTGACGATCGTTAACTGGTGTCCACCACCATACTGACCACTGTATACACATGTGTAGAAATAGAAGCAGAGAAAAAAGTTGAAAGACAATCAGACGCGCGGATACATAAGTAGAAAGTACAGCCCCGATGTGTCGCATCCTGTCGATGAAATCGTCGACGGCTCATCGTTTCACCTGTCTGTCGACGCCAAGCTGTATATACTTACGTGCAGGAGTTAATTGATGCCTCTCTGCAGAAATAATGAAGATCACGTCTGTATAAACGACAAGAAAAGTCGAAATTGGGGAAATTAAGTGGGATGTCGTTG